GCTGGCGCTCGGCCCCGCCGGCCCCCGGCCCACGCACCGCCGGCCGGCATGTCCCGATTTTCCCGGACATGTCCGGCTTTTTGGGATTTCCCCCCGGACGGGGATTTGGAGCCCCAAAAGCCGGACATGTCCGGGAAAATCCGGACGTATGGTAACCCTACACACTGGGAAGTTCCCCGGGAGCCAGTGAGATGAAGGGATCTTGCTGTAGATTGGCAGCAGAGCTGTGCCATTGCTGTTACTACACCCTCAGGACTGCAGCAGCTTGCATGGCTGATGTGTGAACCACTCCATACCAAGGAATGGCTAAAATTTCTACCAGCCGTATCCCACTCATCTCTCTGAATGCTAGGGCTTAAGGCAGCCTCTGCAATGCATCAGTTTGAAGCTGATATGGGGTCTTAGCATCATAGTTCTGTCGAGGGCAGGAGCATCGATTAAAAAGAACACTTTTGTCACCTGTCCTTAATTGTACAGGAATTTTGACCAGTGTGATCAGACCTACTTATAGGAACCATGGGTGCTCAGCATATCTGAATTCAGGCTCCTAACTTTAGGCCCTTGCTTGAGAAGCTTGACATACGTGATTTCACAAAGGCTACAGTGGGGATTTGTGTTAGAACTGGGATTAGTTCCTTGTTCCCAATCCTATTTTTATCCCATTAGACCATGCTGCCTCTCATCCTATAGAAAGGCCCCTGTTTGTGGCCGGAGGTGATATAGCTGCTCAGCAGAGGAGATGCCTCGATTGATAGGGTGTTTGTGGCAGCACTACCACCACCAGCAGTAGTCTGGGTGGCACTGCCTCCTGCAGCTGTGAACTAATCTGAGGTCTTTCCAAAAAACAAGGGACCTATTACTATGTTTTTTCCAGTTCCTAAAGGACAGCCCTGAGTCACTGTGAAGAGACTGTGAATAACCTTCTCAAGGGAAATCAGTGACCCAGGCTTGTATTGTTTAACATTGTCAAGGTTATCATTGCAAGGGCTAGAAACATTCTCTCTCTCCCCACTCCCCCAACATGATAGGTGATATTTTCTCTTTACATTTCAACTTGGGATGGGGGTATGAGATACAGTACTGGAGTTTTAAGGTCTACAAAGTCCATCTCTGAAGACAATCAAATTTTAGTACATATGATTTTAGTTATTTTGGTCAACAACCAAGAAATCCTCTGAGAGGGGTGTCTTCTGAAAATCAACTTGTTTAAGTAGGAGGAAGAAGAAGAGTGAAAGGTAACAGCAGAATATGAATTTTAGCAAAGAACAGCAAATAGAAGAATCTTATTTTAAATCTTGCATTATAGCTGTTCCTGTATCCTCCTTTCCTGTATCTACATTTTGATAGAATGCCTTTGTAATAAACAAAGTTAATGCGGATACAGACAGAAATGTTTCAAATTCACTGACCAGCCTTTCCAAATCCACACTTAAAGCAGTCAAATGGTCAGCTCAAATACCCAAAAACTCAATACCCCCTCCTGATAATGGAAGGAAAAGCTATCTGCTCCTAAAACGTAAGAAATGTATGGGTATGTATAAATAATACAAACACATGCCCCTACCTTCTCCCCACTCCCCAGGAGAAACCTGCAAGGTTTTAACTGAAGTACAAGGCTCATGTTGGAGCATACCTCTGCAAAATAGTATTTCCAGATAATGTAACAGCTAAAAATTTACACCAGTCAAAAGAAATACAGAAAACAACAACACTGTGATTCTAAGGCAATTAACATTTAATTGAATTTAAAATCAAACCAGCTGGAAGTTTTCAGAAGAAAAATTAGCAATTATCTCTCATCCTCCTGTGACACTTGTCTGTGTACTACAACTGTTACCATTTCCGGCCACTGTGTTTATAACAGAGTTTGTACTAGGGGTGAGGTGGGATTGGGTGAGTGGTAGGACAAACTGTTAAAATGATGTTGCAGATCCAGGCTATTGCCCAAGTCTTTACAGGATTGTTATGTTGTTTCATAAGTTAAAAAAATGTTTGTCTGTCCATATCGGCAAAACTAAACTGTGCCATAATATGTTGCTTCCAAAACAATAGAATCTGTAATTCAGAAAAAGAACTGAAAAAACTGATTCACCAACCATCGTGCATAGTTTTGTATCTGACAGAGAGAGAGCAAGAAGGGTGTCACCAAATAGTGATGTGTCAGGCTGATGCATTTTGAACACAAAAGGCCATTTTTTTTGTGAGCAGCACAAATTATGTGCGTGTTAAAGTAAATCAATATCAGTAGTTACCATTAACAGTTGCTCTTTGGCTGTCTCTCTTTGCAGTCTCTCATCTTTTTCCTCTTGAATTTCTGTTTCACCCTTCTCTGCCCTATCTTTCTTATGCAATGCTCCACCTGTTATTTTTCACTCTCTCTTAGGGATCTATTTTGCAACCATGGAAGTCACTGATATATCTCCTATTGATTTCAGTGGGGCAGGATCAGATACTCAGTGCCCACCATTTTTAATTTTATTTGTGTATCTTTTATTCCCTTTCCTTCCCCTTTGTTTCTGCCCTCCCTGGAGAATTCCCCTAGCAAAATAAATATAACAATAAACACAGCTGTACTTGTGCTCCTGCTTGGTACTTACAGTACTTGCTATTGTGCACCAGTTTGAAGGTGAGGGTTAGTTGAGGCAGAATAGGATGATACCTATAACAATTAGAATATATATTTACTTTTTTTGTTTATAAAATATATAAAGCATGAGGAGATCTGCAAATTGGCTAGATCCTACACACACAGAAAGTAAATCCCAAACAGATTTATCAGTAGAGGCAAAAAAATAATAAACATGGGAGGAAATTCTCAGTGTTTCAGTAACTTGCAGTGTAATTAGTTCACAATAGGTGAATGAATATTTCCCCTACTTTATGTAACATCACCTTCTGTTAATAGAACCAGACATTAGATTGTGCTGCAAAGCTGGTGTTCAATGGCAGCTTTAACTATGAATTTTTCAGTCTGTACAATATGTCAAGGAATCTAGCTCGGTCTCATCCATTTTTTCCTGATACTTGCATATCTTTTATTATAGGTTACATAGATTTGGTCCATATAAAGCTGGAAATATATCTCATTTAAAGCCCATGAGCTATTTTTCTGTAATCACAATAACTGTGATTTCTGTTCCAGAGACAATCTAGAATGTTAACTCTAAAGTGATAAAAAACCATTTTTGGCGTGACCTTTTCTTAATCACCTCAGTTGGCCTCTAATATTTAACAGTTCTTTCTTATCCATAGGATATGTTCTGGACATTGGAATAAGGTCTTGTATATATGGGGAAATGTTACCAAGTTACAGAGATATAGTTATACTGGTATAACCTCTCGTGTGAATACTCTTATTCCAACATAAGCGTAGCTTACCAAAAGGAGATCTGATGGGGCAAGGAGATCAGGAGGATAATCTGAAATCGTGCAGCTGCAATGATTACAGCTTCCTGTTTACAATGGGCAGAAATAGTTGCAGAATGCATTGCTTCAGACCTGAAATGAACTAAAGACATTGGAACTGATTCTCCACTACTCGTTCCTGATGTAGTCATTTACATCTGTGAAAAAGTGAATACAAAGTGGATGTAAAATACTACCACTGGTATATGTGATGGAGAATTCTAATTTTACACTGACTTTTCACAGGTGTAAATGACCACACAAGGTGCAAAGCAGTGAAGAATTAGGCTCCTGGTTTTGGCACTGAACCAACTGCTTACAATTAACTCTTGTAAAATGTCTGACAGTTGTATGTGGATACAAGGTGCTGTGGATACAAAATTAAGTTGTTTCAGCTTATGGGTTTGTCTGGGATTTTTTTGCATTGCCCTTTTCCCTTAGTGTAAACAGGGCCAGAGAGTGAAGTAATATAAACTGGACAGAAAGAAATATGAGAGGATAACAGAAACAGACAATAAAAGAAGACAGGGAAGGGGAATGTATAACAGATATTGTAACTGACCCCATTGCAGGTCATTGCTGTGAGTGTAGTAGTACACCTGTCTGTAGCTATCTGGTACCATGATAGATTTACCACAACCTTGGAGATGAATACTGTGGTGCTATAAGTACTAGGCTCTTCAGGCTCTAGCTTTGGGGGTTCCCAAGAACACTTGCACACATCAAGTAATAGAGAAATTTCTTTGCAACTTATTTCTGGCAGCCTTAGTAAACACCCCAGGCATGATTGCATTGTTATAACACAAAAGCGATGATAAACTCAACATTTCCTAACTCAGGCGCTGTCCAGTCCAGAAGTATACAAGGTAGCAAGGTCCTAGGTTTTCTCCATACTCAGGATGAGGAGTTGCAAAGAGGTGACTGGATGGCCTGGCCAGCCAGGGGCTTCTGTGGGGCAGACACTGGAGCTAACAATCAGGTACATTTACTGAGGTACCTGGCACGGGCCTTGGGGGGGGGGGGGCATTTTCAGCCTGGTTCTAAATCTGGCCCAACTACACGGATGTCACAACTTGCCAAGGCCGCAGAGATGGCCCGTTAGAGCCCGCGTCACGATGGAACCCCTTCAAACCCGGGTTAGCGGGACTGATTCAAAACCACCTGGAAAATGTCCCCCGCATAGACACAGAAGTGGACTGTCAAGAGCTCCGCTTCCATTGACGCCAGCAGCGTCACCCCATCAGCCCCCGCACTCAGCAGGCTGGGCTAGTGCCAGGGCCCCCATAGTCCGAGGAAAGAGAATGACTCGCTCTGCCCCTCCCCCCGCTCCCCTTTCACCGGGCGCTTCCGCGGGGTAGTGGTATAAAGGAGTGCGCATGCGTGAGAAGACGAAGGTTGGGTTTTCGAGGACGTCAGCGTGGTGACGCCTGTCCGCTGAGCTTCTCCGCCAATCACATCGCCGCTTGTTGGCCGGCTGCCCCGCCTCCTGCGTCGGAGCAGGACAAAGTCATTGAGCAGGGTCGATAGTCGGCCTCTGAGCGGAGCTGCCGGTGGAGCAGCGGAAACTTGAGTGGGCGCCTCCGCCATTTTAGAGGGTGAGTGTCAGTGAGCTGGGCCGAGCCGGCGCGCGCTGTCCCCGGAGCGCGCGGGACGGGGCTTCTGGGTCCTGCTCGCTGTGGGGCTGCGGCCTGTGCCCCGGCGAGCGCGTGGCCCCTGCTAACTCCCGCTCCGTGTCCGCCTCTCTCCCCAGGCCGCCATGTTCTCGTCCGTCGTGCCGCTCGCCCGCCTAAATCCATTCCACGCGCCCCATTTGCAGCTGCTCCAGGACGGCGTGAGGAAGCGCCCGGACCCCGCCGAGCCGCCCAGCCCCCGGAGGAGTCTGGCGGCCGCCGCTATCGCGGAAGGTAAATGGAGCAGCTGGAAGGGAGGCCGCTGCCGCCGTCCCGCGTCCCTCCATTCTGGGGATGGGACGGGTTCTGCCCACCGGAGCTTGGGGGGGGACCGCCCTGGCCCTGCATGTCGGCCCGGCTGGGGAGGGGCCGCCTCGAGCGGGCCTCTCCGGTGCTGTTTGGAGGGCAAGGAAGGGCACGGGGCGGGGGAGCCTTCCCGGCTTGTGTCGGGACCCAGGTGCTCAGGGTCCGATTGCCCCGCCCTACGCCCGTGTGGCTCACGGTCACCCCTAGTGCGTCACGCTCGGGGCGCCTCTGGGCCCGGCTCTATCGCTGTAACCTTGGTGCGGCCAGGCCGCAGGCCTGTGTCTCCCGCTTCTGGGAGAGCCAGAGCTGCCATCTTCCCCAGTGCGTGAGCCCCTGAAAACTGGGCTGGGGCACAGGGCAGTGTTGCTGCGGCTGGTTCACAGCCACCCAGGAAAGCGCTGGTAGAGACTACACGGGCTGCCAGTCACTTATTCCTTCCTCTGGGTATTTGCCTGGCACACATCACTATAGGCTGGACCCACCATCCATGTCTTAAATTAAAGCAAGGGCATGTTACCTGTAGAAAATAAATCTCATATGGCCCCCACCAGAGCTTTTAAAGGGAAGAGGAAGATCTTGGTAATAAAGGGAATAGATCTGGCATATATTGGAAATCCTGAATGTCTTGGATTTTTTTCTGTAATGTGAACTCCATTTGAAAGACTTACAAATTCTGTAAATGTTTAAAAATAATTGGATGTAAACTGGAAATCTGGACCACTTCATCAATTAGTCAAAGTACCACCCTTCTCTCTGAATATCCTAGCCAAATTTTCAGTCTCTAATTTATGCCTTCTTTTTTTTAAGAAATCAATATAAAGGCATCTTCCTATACATAAAGTGCTGTGAAACTCTGCAGTGTGGCAAATGAAAAATATTTCTATCATGTCATGACCCTAATCTTGTGTGTGTAACAATAGTAATTAAAAATTAGTGACACTTTTATATCAAGGAAAATTTCTGGTTAATAATATCAGCACTTTTCTTCATTAAATCTCCATCCTCTTTACAAAGAGGTTTATATCGCTATCTCCATTTTATAGACTGAGAAACTAAGTCATAGAGGTGAGGTGATTTGTCCAAGGACACTGGCAGGCCAGTGGTTGAGCTGGAAATAGAACCCAGGTCTCCTGATTTGTGGTTTGCTGCTCTAGCCTCTCAACCACACTGCTTCCCATTAAAAACGCTGGGCTTTAGTATATAAAATGAATATGCAGCTAAGACCTCTTTTCTTAAAGAAAAGACTTTTCTCCCTTCTTGGTTGTACAGACACTAATGTGCTGCAAAGAGATTCCATAGAGGGATAAATACAGGCTTTTCTTCAGTGATGAGTAACTGAGCACCTTGCATACTAATTTATATTTCAGGATGTAGAAAAGTATAACCACCACTTTATAAATATGTAATTGAGCTGAGTAACAGTGGCTTTCCCAAGGCTGCACACAGACACACTGGGAACAGAATCCATTAGTCTTGATGCTAGTCAAGTGCACCTAACATAAGATCATCCTTTCTCTGTCAAGACTGTTCTTAAGAGTGAAGTACCTGACTTTTGTAGAATATGCCCTATATTGGTACTGGTTTATCAGTTCTGTCCTATTTATTATCATTTCAGAGAGGCTTTATTTGGCTCTTGGGGAAATAACTGTTGTACCTTTGACTTTGTTCTAACCAAGACTCTGGATTATTCCTGAGAAACTGTACTTGCCTATTCTTGCAGAGGTGGTATTGGCCACAGTGTATTCTTCTGGAAAGTTGTCCTTTAAGTTATTTGCTTGATTATATTTAGGTTAGAGTAAACATTCATCTTTCTTTTGTTTGGATGCCACTTGACACTGTCCCTGATTCTTACACTTCTTCGGTTTACTTGGAAGTCAACGCTTGTCATTGTCTCTATGCGGAATAATTTTATTGTACAGTAACAAAGGTGAAAATACTTTAAGTGTGGCTTCATGTGAAGGAAACCTCCCAGAATAAGATTCTGAAAGTGTAACTTTTGGATGTAAGATTACTTTGAGTATTTCTGCCCCTGGGGCCCCTTGGAGGGGGGAGAGGGTGTGCTTGTTGCTCTGCATGCTGCTCCTCCCTGCAGGGACTGCCCCCGCAGCTCCCATTGTCCGGGAATGGGGAACTGTGGCCAATGGGAGCTGTGGGGGCAGTCCCTGCAGAGAGGGGGCCATAGGGGTGTGATGGCAGCTTCCAAGAGCTGTGTGGGTCTGGGGCAGGCAGTAAGCCTGCCTTAGCCCTGCTGTGCTGCCGACCAGGAGGTGCCTGAGGTAAGTGCTGCCTTGCGGGAGCCCGCCCCAGAGCTCTCTCCTGGAGTCAGCCCTCCATAACTCCTCCTGCACCCTGAACCCCAGCTCAGAGCCCCCTTCTGTACCCTAACTCCCTCCCAGAGCTTGCACCCCTCACCTCTTCCTGAACCCCAACCCCCTTCCCTTGGCTCAGCCCAGAGCCCCCTCCCATACTCCAATCCCTGTGGCTCCAGTCCAGCCCCACACCTCATCCCGCAACCCAACCCTCAGCCCAGTAAAAGTGAGGGTTGGGGAGAGCAAGCAATTTGCGGGGGGGAGAGGAGGAGTGAGTGGGGCAGAGCCTTGGGGAAGGGGTAGAGTAGATCCTGGGTTGCACTTAAATTCAAAAAGTGATCTTGTGCATAAAAAGGTTGGAGACCACTGAACTAGAGGTATTGTGTTAAACCAGTGCGACTTCATGTATATGGATTCTCTTACATATGTTTAATCATGCTTATGTAAGTGTCCTTACCAAAGCTGCGCTGATTCAACTAACCTGGTTTAACGACCAGTGCAGTGTTGTGCAGACCAGGCCAGAGTCCTAACTGTTTCACTTTCTAGCTCTTCAGATGGCTTTTTTCGATCTGTGTTAAATTTGTGCTTGAATCTAAATAAAACTCAAATGTAAAGACTGAGGTGCTCTACTAAATTAAAAACGTAAATAGTTGGCTCAATATTTCATTAAAAGGACAAGCTTCCTCAGTGAAAACTTTGACAAATGAGAATGTAAATGGACACTTTCAAGTTGACAGGCCTGGAACTCGACCTAGCTGCTCTCTTTCGTCCAAAAAATTAGGAGTGAAGCCAGGAGCCAGTGCCGTAGTATTTGAGCAACCCATTAGCCAGCTAGTATCTGTATCAGGGAGATAGAAATCATTAAGGCAATTACTTCTATTCTAATGTGCTGGAGGATTATTGGAAATGGGTTTTAAACATGAAATACTAACAGTGTCTTCTTCACAGACTTGTACAGTTAAGTGTACAAACTTTAACACTTTTCTTTCTGATTAAACAGAGGAATATAGCTGTGCATATGGCTCAGGCAGATTCTTTCTCCTTTGTGGCCTTGGTGGGATTATTAGCTGTGGCACAACACATACAGCATTGGTTCCCCTAGACCTGGTTAAATGCAGGATTCAGGTTTGTTTCGCATGTTGAATGTGGTAAAACTCATAAAGCATGGTTATGAAGTGTGATACATGTCTGCTAACAGAAGCTGGAGGAGTAAGTTATCCATCAAGCAAGATGTTCTCCAGCTGTGCATGGGGTTTATATAAAAGCATGGTGTCTTTGTTTTGCTGCAGAGGAATACAGTTGTGAATATGGCTCGCTCAAGTTTTATGCTCTCTGTGGTTTTGGTGGGGTCCTAAGTTGTGGCCTGACGCACACTGCAGTCGTACCTCTGGATTTAGTGAAATGTCGTATCCAGGTTTGTATCTGAATGAAACTGACTCCAAAGCTTCTTTAACTTAATCTATTTTCATATTTAGTCTAGAGGTTGTATGTCATGTGAGTTTTACAAGGGGTATAATGTAATGCCTTAACACTAGTGCTAGTAGAAAGAAGTAGTAATCAAGCTTTAATATTCTTTTTGGATTAAATGAACATCCATTGGATTAATAAGAAACTTTGCATCCTTGTGATGCAGATGAACGATAGCATAGATGAATAGGGAAAACTTTTAACCACTTTGAGATTTCAGCCTTGATTTGTTTTAGCCAATTGCAGTTGAGAAACATGCTTTTGAATAACTCATGGCAAAAGTTTCCCACCAATTGTCTTAAGTATCTTGTGACTAAAAACTAGTGAAACACCTCTGTGGGGGGCATAGGAATAATATGTCTGTTTCTTAGCATTCTGGAAGTAGGGGGCAATTACCTTCAGAGGATCTGAGATATATATGACGTGCATATGTAAGAGTTAAATGAAAATTAGTTCAGAGGACTTTGTGCATGGATTCTGGATTGAGTTTTTAATTTGAGCCTTTCTTACGAACAAATGGAAAATGCATTGCAGTTGGAAGCTAGTGCTTATGTTAAAATGATACTAAAACTTGGAATT